GAGTAGATTCCGCTCATTCAGTACTCTCAAATGGGTTGATACTTTATAGTGCGTTGAAGACTTGAAGGATCTTTTGATATGATAAAGGTGTATATATAAATACAAAATGTAAGTCTTTACTCTTTAGTAGACGATGAAACTTTATTTACTCCGTATATTTTTATATATACTCCGTATAACATAAAGAAGTATCAAAGGGATGCTATAAAGTATACGGCGTATTATTTACTCCGTTATTACTCCCCGATTCAAAAATAAGTTCCATCTTTTTTTTTCGAGCAGTTCCAAAATTAAGTTCCATTTTCAAATTTTTCCTTATTTGGCAAATTATCTACATCAAAACAGTTTCAAACAGTGTCAAACAGTGCCAAACAGTGTCCAAACAATGCCAAACAATGCATTCCACAGTAAAGTCAAATTTCATTTCTTAATATGTGTGAAGTCAAATGTGGAACTTGTTTTTGGAGGGAGGGAGTATTATTTACAGTTATTATAAAATGAAATGACGTTGTAGGTCCATAGTGATCTTCAAGATTCTGATCTGATAGATATATCTTTGTCTCCTCCAATCTCCCTCCTTTCTCTTTATTTCCCCCCACTTTCAAAGATTGTATCTTTCGCGTATCTCCTCCCCATTTTTTAATATCATTAACTCTTACCAACAGAATATCTTTCTCACCTCCCTCAAATCTATATATATTTCTTCCCTGCACTTTTCTTCACATTTCCATTTTGACTAACCCAAACAATAACAGCTCTCTCTAAAAAATGTCTTCCCCTTCATCCTCATCATCCTCCTCTTCTTCATCAGATGAACCAAAGTTCCATGTTCTAGCGGTTGATGATAGCATCATTGACAGAAAGCTCATCGAAAGGCTCCTCAAAACCTGCTCTTATCAAGGTATGTATAATATATCTGATTTTTTGTTTAATTAGGTTTAACATTCTCTGGTATTACTGTTCAGCTGGATCTAATCTAGCAATAAGAGTAGCTTCGATTTTCTAATTGAGGTGAAATTGAACTCAATGGATTAGTTATTGCGGATTAGAAATCGATTGTATATTTTGCAAACAATTGTAGTGTAAATGATTTGCAATTACAGAGATCTGATTTTGTTGTTCCGTGAAATTGATGTTCACAGTGACGGTGGTTGAATCTGGAATAAAAGCGATGGAGTTTCTGGGAGAGCAGATAGAGGAAGTGAATTTGATAATAACAGATTACAGCATGCCTGGAATGACAGGGTACGAGTTGTTGAGGAAGGTGAAGGGCTGTTCCTCGCTGAAGGACATTCCGGTGGTGATTATGTCGTCGGAGGATCTTCCTTCCCGGATCGACAGGTGTCTGGAGGACGGCGCGGAGGAGTTCTTCGTCAAGCCCGTCCGCCAATCTGACGTTAACCGGCTCAGATCTCATCTATTGCGGCCTAAATCTGCACCGGCATCTCCTCCTCCTTCTCCGACTTCATTGATCAGCCGGAAAAGAAAAGCGGCCGCCGTCGCCGGCGTGGAAGAGCATTATGGCTTTTCATCACCGTCCCCAGCATTGAAGGTGAGCAGAATATGAGTGCGGTGGGTTAGATTTTGTGGGCCATTCAAATCCAGCAGAAAGGAATGGGTGGACGAATTGGGTTCATCTGACATGTGGTGGGCCGGGCCGGTCTCAAGATAATCAGAAATCACGAGATGCTTAAGAATCAAAATCCTCTATGAACAGCCCACCTAAGTCATTATATAGATTTATAATTCTGGATTTTTTAAATTATGGATTGAGTTATACCTAATTACATGTGTATGATGCTTTAGACTTGGAATACTTTCTGAAATGATTTTTAGGGAATGTAGTTAAATTAATACGGAGTACTTTGTATTGGATCGTAAATTAATGAACCAATCAGCTTCCTAATTATATGCGTATTCGATCATGTTTATAGCATCATCCGTCACTTTTGAATGCTCAATTTTTAATTTTTTTATTGCGTTGGCAGATTCAGCTGAGAACTAGATGCAATTTTTACTTTTTTAGTCACGATTCATGTACTGGAATTTTTTGAAGCCGGTTTGGTGACACCGAAACACGTTGAGTCAGTAAAAGTTGATCAAATTTTGATGAACTTACCAATGAAAATTATACCCGTACATGATACTCCGTAGTATTTCAAATATACTCCCCGGTTTTAATAAATTTCACACTTTCCTTTTTGGGATGGTCTAAAATAAATTTCACACTTCCTTATTTCCTTTTTTGGCAAAGAAATCTACATCAAAACAATGTCAAACAGTGTCTCAACAGTGTCAAACAGTGCCTCAACAGTGTACTTTACAGTAAAGTCAAATTTCTTTCCTTATTTTATGTGAAGTCAAAGTGTGAAGATTAAATAAAACCGGAGGTAGTATTTACTAATTATAAAAATCATAATATGATGAAATGACCCTCTTTAACAAATTCAGCACAAAAAAAAATTAAAACTTTGCATCTTTTTTAATTAAAAAAAACACAATTCAACGTGTGAATATGATGGAATAATGCAAAATGACTTACTAAACTGTCTGTGCTTCTTTGTCATGAAGTAACAGTCAATCTATGCAATTTTCGACACGAATTTCACTATGGGTCATTTGGAAACAGTCTCTCTGTACTTTAGTATAAGGGTAAGATTGTGTACATCCGACCTCCCTCTTATCCCACCGTAAGTGGAAGCCTTTGTGTCACTGAGATAATGATGTTGATGATGATGATGAATGCGTCAGACGAAAAGTTACATACTCCAAAATATTTAGTTAAAAAGTTGACTTGTAAAATTGTTAAGTTAGGAATATGGTTTTTACCAAACGGTTTCTAGCGTGAACCCGTTTGAAATGGTCAGTCTAAGGATGTTTTTAATTGAATTCAAATTTGTTGATCTGGTTTGGTTTGTTTAGACCTGGACAATTTATGTCTGGTCTGATCTGGAACAAAAAATAGTTCAAATAAAATCAACTAAATCATTTTCATTTGGCCAAAAACAACATCACGGACCAGGCATTAGCTTGAATTTGAGTTCATGTTGAGGTTTGAGGAGCAATTTAAAACTCTCCACAAACAAACAAGAAACATTTTAGATATTCTTGAGATTTGAATCATTTGATGTATTGAAAAGTTAACTATTTCTAACAAAATCAGATTTTGAATGAAAAACTAAAAAATATGGAGTACTCCGTAAGATTTATGAATTTAAAGTTAAACAGTGTTGAAATCTCTGTTCAATTTGATTATTTGAATACGGAGTATAATAATAACTTGTACGGAGTAGTATATACTACGTATTTGTATTCTTTTGTTTTTTATTTGCTTATTATCCTGTCCTTAAACAGATTTGTAGTTCAAATCTTTTCGTTCCAAGAAGTCCCGATTAATAAATGATGAAGTGACATTGCATGTAAATTTTCAAAGTAGCCACGTACAAAGTTTCAAACTAATAAAAAAACACAAAACACGTTCTTTAAGTTTTATTTTGAAAAATGGAACTTCTAGGACGAAAAAACTTTTTTTAATAATTATGAAAAACAAAAAATGGAACTTCAAGAACAAAGACAACGATGGTCATGTTGAAGCAAGAAACAAAAAAGGCAAGTATTATTGTGTAACGAGTCAGAAATCAACCAAAACGACTTAAAATAAGAATATATTTCATTCTTTCCCAACTAGTTTACGGAGTGAGATGTGCAAATTATAACTTTTTTAATCGCATGAAGTTCACACATAAAACTGCTTTGAGAAGGAATTGCATTCTCTAATTTCACTCAAATTATGAGGTGCAAACTTGCAGTCCAAAATGTAGCTTAGATATTATAAGCTAATACTCTGTCAGTTTGCTTTTAAATGTCTCGTTTTACTATATTGGGATGTCCCTATTTATTTGTCTAATACTTTATTTGAATTGGTAAAGTTTGTGTGATTCAAAATCATTCTTACTTTATTCTTACTTTATCAATTAATATCAACCACACAAACCCACTTTTCTTAAAATTCATGGCATCCTCTTTCGGGACATTTAAAAGGGGACGGAAGGAGTAATCCATATAGAATAGTGTGTGGAATTCAAACAATTGAAAGTATAAAGATACTTTCAATCAAGCATCTAAGGCTTCTAAAAATTTAATTTTAAGATAGAGTGATGTGTAAATATATCTTTGATTTTTAGCTTTAGGTGTGAATATGCCCCTAAAATTTTAAGATATATTCCTATTATCGAACTCAAAATAGACCTGAATTAGGGTAATGAATTTTCTCTACATCAAACTTTTTTAGATAGTGTCAATGTTTGAACATACGAGATTCAAGTAGGTGATTCTGACGGTACGATGAAAAAATTGAAGAAAAATGCGTGGTGTATAAAAAATGTGTACACTTTTTGTGTACATTTGTCTGTCCTTCGCAGACAAATTGTCTGTCACAGACTCATCTTAAGGACAGACAAGTGTAAACAAAAAGTGTACACATTTTATATACACCTAGCAAAATTTGAATTTGAAATTAAACTTTGAATCGAAGAGATTCAGCTATGAAATATTGAGGACTGTCATGCCACGCTTAATAATTGTTTAAAGTATGGTATAAATTACTACATGAAATTTATAAAACTTGCTTATATGCCATCTACTCCCTCCGTCCCGTTGGAATGTTTCCGATTTGACCTACACACATATTAAGGAAATAAACTTATCAGGAGGTAAATTTTACTGTTTGGACACTGTTTGACACTTTTTGACACTGTTTGGCACTGTTTGACACTGTTTTGATGTGGGATAACTTTCTATTTAGGACATCTAAAAAAGGAAAGTGAAAACATTCCAACGGGATTAATCGTATCATATCATTCACACCATACACAATTAAGAATAAGAATATCATTAAAGAGTGTACATTGTTTCTTCAATTCAAGTAAGCATTGACCAAATCCAACGTTTGTGATCAGTTAGGCTTCAATGCCACGATCTTCAGCAGAATTCTCAAGCACCGCCACTACTCTAACAGTCCCCTAATTTCTCTCATTTCGTTTTTTATCATCAAATCACCGCATTTCCTTTTCAACGGCTTTCTTTTCCCCGAAAAAAACAAAAGAAAAAACAAAATCCCTTCTTCTTCTTCCTTTTTCGTTTTGCCCTGCCTGGGTCCGCCAAAATCCTCTCTGCCATACTTTCCGTACGTTCCGCCACCACCGTCACGCTTCCACCGCCTCCATTTGAACGTTGACATTCGCGATTGGATATTTGGATATCAGATACGGAGTAATTTGAACGTTCTTCGCGCGTATTCATGGCGTTTAGGGACAAAAGCGAATCTCAGAAGAATCCGAAGATGAAGACCGCTTCGTATTTCAACCGATCATTGACGATGCATCACGGCCGCACCTCCAATGAATCGTTCGGTTTCTCTGGGAAGCCCCCCGTCGAACGGATCGGCTCGTTTAAGAAGCTCTACGGTCCCGCCGCGTTTGAATCGATCGTATCCGTCACCGGGAAGGTGAAGAAGCTTTGCTCGCTCTTCGATACGCAGAAATTATCCAGCCGCTTGTCCAATTTCCTCCCCCTTCAGCAACAATCTCCGTCAGGCGCCGTCGCGAAACCCTCGGATTCCGAATCTGGCGGATCTCTGCTTCAGCTGCCGGGGACGGAGGACAGAGTGGTCATCTACTTCACGAGCCTGAGAGGAATCCGGCGGACGTTCGAGGATTGCTACACGGCGAGAATGATCCTGAAGAGCTTCCGAGTGAAGGTGGACGAGAGGGACATCTCCATGGACAACGCGTACAGGACAGAGCTGCAGAGCATTTTAGGGCAGAAGGATGTGAGCCTGCCGCAGATATTCATCAAAGGGAAGTATATCGGCGGAGCTGAAGTGGTAAAGCAGATGAACGAAGTCGGCGATCTGGTGAAACTGCTCAGGGGCATGCCAATGCGGCCGCCGGGACGCGGCGGCGCCTGTGACGGTTGCGGAGATGCGCGGTTTTTCCCCTGCACGAATTGCAACGGGAGTAAGAAAGTGTTCGATGAGGAGGAACGACAAGTGAGAAGGTGCCACGTGTGCAACGAGAACGGGCTGGTTCGCTGCCCTTTCTGCTGTTATTGACTGCCCGGATTTTTACTCTGATTGGTGATTCTCATGGTCCGTACTAATTGCACGTTTAACTATGTATATACGGAGTATCTATTTTGTAAGTATGAATGATTTGAGATGACCAATGGGACGTATACAGTATTTTGAGGAGAGTATTTTGAGGAGATTATGATTTATGACGATGTCATAAGTTCATTGATTGAGGGTAATAAATCCCAATTTTAAAGTTCCCTATCTAACATTTTGATTGTTTCGCTGTTCACTCAGGTGGGTTAGTTTAGGGCTTATTTAATCCAGCTTGAGGTACACATTTTCATATACACACCTACACACTCCTGTTTGTGAATAGTATTTTTTGTCTGTATACAGACATAACGTATTTGAAAATACGCTATGTCTATATACATACAAATTTTTTTTTCACAAACATGAGTGTGTAGGTCTGTGTAAAAAATGTGTACCAATAGATTTTTTGAGGGCTTATTTTGTCTCGAATATACTAAAGCTAACCATGATCAGAATTATGAGTCAAGTCTGATTCTAATTATGGTTCATTTCATATTGGATGTGGGGTTTTACTTTTTGAAAATCTAGAGTACTTAGAGCATCTTCAATACTACAATGTGCATGATGCACATGTGGCATAAGTGATAACCACATAAATATTAGCAAATAAATTATCTATCTCCTTATTTGAAAGATTTTATATAATTTTGGTAAGTTTTTCCCTGCAATGTCAACTGCAATGTCAATATTTAGACGGTCTCTTTGACATTGTGGAGAAAAACTTATCAAAACTATATAAAACCATTCAAATAAGAAGAGAAAGAATTTACTTACTAATATTTATGTGGCTATCTCTTATTTATTTACTAAGTACATAAGTGTCCTTAATGTATACATAAGTTCACTTATGTATAGATTAAGAACACACTTCTTAATTGTTAGTATACAATATCGTACATTTGTCATAATCTAATTTGCACTTTTAGCAATAAAAATGTGTATAAAGCTCTTATATTTTAATCTTTTATTTATTGTACATCACTAGTTTAAAACAGATCAAATATGCACTTTCAATGTTCGAGTACTGCATTTTAACAAAAAAATGTATTGAATTTGGGAAGGAATTGATCTATGAGAACAGTAGAACACCACATGCTTTATAAAATGTATTTCCAATTCATTTTGATGCATAATGTGTACAAATACTATGTACTCCCTCCATCTCAATTTGTTTTGCAAAGCCAACAAATTTTGGTCAATCAATAATAAAAGTCAATCCTCTTATTGATAATCAATTCAATTTTTAATAATTAATATTTACATATTTAGAAACTACATTGAAATCTCTTCAAAGTTGCACAATCCAAATTTGTATATAATTAATATTTGATATCTTAATTAACCGAATGTTAAGTTTAATCCAACACGATATAGTAAATATATGTATAAATGTGTATGAACAAGCTATTTTTACGTGGAAACCCGAAAGGGAGAAAATCACGGGACTTTTTAGGCTAATGTCCAAGCTCTCTCATTCTCGTTAGGACTCTCCTCACCATTACAAAGTACATGTATTGAAGCTCCCATTAATGATTGATAAAGCTAGCTAATCTATTCTAGAGAGGAGGAGAAATGGGGGAGAAGAGACCAACCCATAACATGGAGGGAAGACCTTATATTTATAGGGAAAAGGGGGTAGAGAGTAGTAAGGATGTTTTTACTTGGACTATAATTTGCCCCAGACCAGACCAATCCAGATCAGACCAGACCAGACCAGACCAGACCAGCAAATTGCAGTCCAAGTAAAAACATCCTAAGTCTACCCTAATGGACCAAGTGGGCCGAAATGAGCCCAAAGGCCGAAAGAGGCCTAATAGGCTGAAACAGGCCTCACTGATCGGGCTCCGTACTATGTAAATTCTTGGGCTCCTGAACAGTAACAGACCGGAATAATATATCCTAACACCGAATAAAATAAAATTGTTTGACCAAGAAAAGTCAAATTTGCAAATCAATTCGGGACGGAGATAATGCTAGTATATTAATAAAATTTTAATATCACACATTCTTATAAAAATAAAGTGCACTTCTAAATTGCTCTACTAAGTGAACTTCTAAATTGCAATGATTGCACACATTGATGTTTTTGCTTATAGAAAAAGGCACATTTTAATTACAATAAATGCACATTTGGTTTTACATAATATGTCTAAATATTTAAATAAATGTATGCATAAAATTTTGAATAAGAGTTCCATGATTCAATGGACAAATCTTGCATCTGAAAAGAAAAATTCACACATGAGAGGACAATAAATTTAGAATTAAAATTAAATAACAAGTATTCATTAAAATTAATGGTCCCAATTATGAGGGGAGATTACTCTATATTAATTAATATTCTAATTGTTAGGATTACTTCCTATTATGGTGCCTTATGTACGATAAACACTCGGTGCAACCAGTACATTACAAAATGCAAATTAAATGAATATGAATAATCGTGCATCCACGTATTTGACAAATTTAATTAAATATCTTGATTGTATTTATTATTTAAAATACAACCTAAATAATTAATCAACTATTAAAAGAAAAAATTGTCCGGATTAATTAATAGGTTGTACATATTGTATTTATGAACCGATTCAATATGTATGGAAAATTTAGTTACGATTGTTCAATACCGTGTTAAAATCGTTCCACTTAAGATGATGATGATGATGATGATGATGATGATGATGATGATGATGATGATGATGATGATGATGATGATGATGATGATGATGATGATGATGATGATGATAATAATAATAATAATAATAGTGATTCAAAGTTCATCATAATTTCCATGGTACCACGATTACTTTGTATTCAATCGTAGCCTTTAATCTCATATTTGATGGATTGATTTCATTCACATTTCTCTCCTTGGAGATTATTCTCACCTAAATTGTCCCCTATATATTGGTTTAAAAAACAAGTCTTAATGTAAAAATTCAGAACAAATCTGAACCATCAAAGATGCAAATTGTGTTGAGATGATTGAATCATTAGCTAAGGGTAGTTTTGTAACATCTTTTGTCAGTTTTGTAACTGACATTTGGAGTGTTAATCGTGCATTTTGATTGACTCCCTCCGTTTCGATTTGTTTGACACGGTTTGAATTGTCGAGAATTAAGGAATTTTTTTACTGAGTGATAAATTTTACTATTTTGACACTGTTTGCACTATTTGAACACTGTTTGACGCTGTTTTGATAAAGATTTGTTTATCAGATAAAGAAATAAGGAAGCGTGACATTCATTTTGAAACATCCAAAAAGGAAAATGTGTCGAACAAATTGAAATGAAGGGAGTATATTTAAATATACTACAAGAAAAGTGCACATAGACCGCACATAGACCAATATTTTTTTGTGATGGCCACATAACTGTCGTTAAAAACACTATTAACCACACATTTTTTTATTTACCACATACAAAACTGTGGTAAAAAGTCAAAGACGACAGTTTTTAACCGTGACCAATGTTTTTACCACGGCTGTTGTGGCGACACACGTAAAACTGACGCAAAACTGTCGTAAATGTTGCTCCTTATGTTTTTACGACAGTTTTGCGACAGTTTTAGGTGCGTCGGCACAACAACTGTGGTAAAAACATTGGCCACGGTTAAAAACTGTCGTCTCTAAGCTTTTACCACATTTTTGTGTGTGGTAAATAAAAAAATGTGTGGTTAATGGTGTTTTTAACGACAGTTAGGCTGCCACCCGCAAAAAAAAATGTGGTCCATGTGTAGTCTATGTGCACTTTTTTTGTAATGATAACAGAATCCAACCAGGCAAGAACAAGACCACACACAAGAGACAAGTAAGACCAGAAACATTACACGATCATATATCTTATGACTAGACTCAGAATTAATCACTCACTCAAACCAAATCAACATCAATATGATTCGTTAATCCCCGGTTGGGTAACTATAAGCGAATCGTGATCAACGATGCATTCTCGTCAATTATCTTAAGTTGTACTTGCCTCAAACCAAACTAAAAATCAAACAAAAATCACCTCGAGTAATCATCACCTGGTAGAAGAAGAAATAAACATCTTAAAGGAAAAAACAAATGCAAAAGCATAGTGCTGAAACAAATAAACCCGCGAATAAGACCCGGGCAAGCCTGAATTTTCAGGACCGCCCCTTCCACGTTTTTTGGCATGTGCACCCGCCATAGCCCCTTCCAACATATCTTCCCCATCTGGGTTCTCTGCCATTCGTTTCCTCTTCGGCTCCCCCATTTGGCTATATCTCTTTTGTTCATACACATTCTCTGGATACTCTCCTTGAACATGAAACACTGTTGAATCCCAAAACAAAACAGAAACTTTGGAGTTTTTTCATACTATCCTCCGTTCTATAATTCTTGCAACAGTTTGACTTTCACGTTTGCCAATGCACAACTTTGATTGTAATTATATTTAATTATGTATTAGTAAACATTATAAAAAGTTGATATTTTGGAAATTCACATTGATAAGAGTTCAATAACATTTTATACGTAATAATTTGATTATGTATATTAGTAGAAAATCATGGTCAAAAAAAGATTTGTGAATTGTGTAAAAATCACAATGTTGCAAGAATTATAGAACGGAGGAAGTATTTTAAATCCACCCAAAAATCACTCCCTCTCATTTTTTCCCAACTTCACCTTCCCCCTCAAAGGTTTATTTATGTTCAGCACACTCTTAGCCTCATAAATAGTTTCCATGAGTCTTCAAATTGAATTTCTTCAACTTGAATTAATTTACCTAACGTTGTTCCAATAAGTTACGCAGCTCGCATAGTGAAAAAATCTATAGGTAAATTATGAATCTGAACCCAAAAATCTGTCGAGACTTGTGATGGTAATTCACCCTCCTGCAGAGCATGCAATACTAGCAAATTATGTTTAAACAACCATGGACCATTCTCAATCACACGCTTCATATCCATCACATGGTAGAATGTAAGATATACCATTTATACCTATTTCTTTAATCGAAACACCTTTTACCGGCCTCCAAACTGATGTTGTAACATCTTTAAGGGAAGGACCTTTTACATGTTTATAAGTGAGAAGAGTCCCAACTACTAAGAATGTCGCCACTTTGTCTTCT